AAATTTGTGACATTAGTACATTCTTAGTGTTATAAAGCTACTATCTAGTTCCAGAAGGTTTTCTCTTCCCAAAGCAAAACCCTACATCCATTAGTACTTTACTACGAAAAAGTTAAGCTTTCTATTAAAATGTTAATTTTCTAGTAATCTATGGTTTGTAAGTCAAGTACTCAGCTCTAGGTTTTATTTAAGTTGCCAAGTACTGAGTAAGGGCTCATATCTACCTATGAATTCCTCTGTGTGTGTTTACAGGTACATAATATGTTGGAAAGTGCCCCACCCGTCTTACACAAGTCATTCATATGGAGAGGTTAAGATTGTCAAGATAAAAGAGAAAGTGTTTTATCACTTCATTCACCAGTTTGTTATGCTGAGTGTTTTTGTTTTATCAATATTTCAGTACATATTTTCCTTTTTGGAGCCTTACTGGATCCTAGTTATAACATACGATCTCAGTACATAACTTTCTTCAGTTTAGCATCTTTGGTCTAATGCTAATTGAAAATATTATTTAACTTTTAATATGACATGAACCCATAAATAGATGGCTAACTTCCAAAATGTTTATCTTATGTTTTAGATGAATAAGTAGAATACTTTTCTTAAATGAACAATGGGCTGGTTGTGACAGAGAAATCACTTTTTGAAAGGGGCTATCTACAGTAGCGTAAATTTGGGCCGGAGAAATGGCTCAGTAGAATAAGCACTTCCCTGGCAAGTGCAAGGGCCTGAGTTTAATCCCTGGTTCCCCCTCCCCCCCAAAAAAAAGACACGGTAGCTTAAATAAATTAAAATTTTAATAGTTGTTCAAAAGCCATTGAGGTAAATACTATACAGGTCACTGGTACATTCAAAGTAAAAGCCGATGTCTGTTTAGAAACTCTTTTCCCTAGTTTCCTAGTAGTCTCTGTACTTCCAAATCCTAAGATACTAAGAAACCTTTGCAGCTTCCTATCATTGAACACTGATGGGTAATGACCAAAGGAGTGGCAACTCGAATGATGCCCTGCTATCTCTGTGGCAGGTTCACCCTACCAGTGCTGATGAAATCTAGTTGAAATAACAGATCTGTGGAACTCAAGGAAGAAAAGTTGACTGACACACAGAAGTATTGATTTGGTGATAGCAAGAAGGAAAAAAGAGTTTGTTAGGTTGTCTTGAGAAACTGCATCACTAACCCCTTTGTTCCTTTCAGATTTCAAGAAACTCTACTCTGGGATCTTCCGGATTTGGAGCATCTCTCCCAAGTTTATCACAACCTTTGACTTTTGCAAGTGGACGGAGCCAGTCCAATGGGGTTCTAGTCACAGAACACAAACCTTTGGGCTTCTCATTTGGCTGTAGCTCTGTACCAGAGCCTCAAAAAGACTCCGATCTCTCCAAAAACTTATTTTTTCAATGCATGTCCCAAACTTTACCTACCAGTAACTACTTTACTACGGTTTCGGAGAGTTTGGCTGATGACTCCTCTAGTCGGGACTCATTCAAGCAAAGCCTTGAGAGCCTGAGTTCAGGCCTGTGTAAAAGCAGATCTGCTCTTGGAACAGACACAAAGCTAGGCTCTAAGGCTGGCAGCTCTGTGGACCGAAAAGTGCCTACAGAGTCCATGCCCACCCTCACTCCAGCTTTTCCACGGAACCTTCTAAGTACCCGCACTCCAGAGAGTCATGAAAATCTATTTTTACAGCCTCCCAAACTGTCCCGAGAAGAGCCTTCTAACCCTTTCCTGGCATTTGTGGAGAAGGTTGAACACAGCCCTTTCAGCAGCTTTGCATCTCAGGCATCAGGTAGCTCTGCTACCACTGTCACCTCCAAGGCAGCGCCCAGCTGGCCTGAGTCTCACTCCTCCACAGACTCAGCATCTTTAACAAAGAAGAAGCCCCTCTTCATTACAACTGACTCCTCCAAGCTAGTGCCTGGTGTTCTGGGCTCTGCTCTTAGCACCGGGGGCCCAAGCCTCTCTGCCATGGGGAATGGCCGCTCCAGTTCACCCACCAGCAGCCTCACCCAGCCCATAGAGATGCCTACTCTCTCCTCCAGCCCCACAGAGGAAAGGCCAACTGTGGGGCCTGGGCAGCAGGACAATCCCCTCCTCAAAACCTTTAGTAACGTGTTTGGCAGGCACTCAGGCGGTTTTCTGTCCTCCCCAGCAGATTATTCACAGGAAAACAAAGCTCCCTTTGAAGCTGTAAAAAGGTTCTCACTGGATGAGCGAAGCTTGGCCTGCAGACAGGACTCAGACTCCAGCACCAACAGTGACCTATCAGATTTGAGTGACTCTGAGGAGCAGCTGCAGGCAAAGACTGGCCTGAAGGGGATTGCAGAGCACCTGATGGGGAAGCTGGGCCCCAATGGAGAGCGCACTGCTGAATTGTTGCTGGGCAAGGGCAAAGGGAAGCAGACCCCCAAGGGGCGGCCACGGACTGCCCCCCTGAAAGGTGATCCTGCCCAGACCGTCCGCAAGCTTTGCTCTGGCACTAGCCTTGAATACATGTGCTCTTGCATAGTAGTGGCCCTTTATTTATTTGTTTGTTTGTTTGTTTATTTATTTATTTTTGCAGTGCCAGGGATTGAACTCAGGACCCTGCACTTGCCAGGCAAGTGCTTAGTCTACTGAGCTATCTCTCCAGCCCTTGGCCCTCTTTTTTTTTTTTTTTTTTTTT